CCCCCCCCCCCCCCCCCTAAAAATTGCCTATGTTCTAATCAAAGAGCAAAGTTATGTGCACAAAAAATGTGCACCAAATCACTTGTAACCGTTAGATCAATGAGTTCCATCATTGATCTAATGACTGCAGTTGATTTAGTACAAATTTGATACGCATAGAATTATCCAACAAGTAAATATTGGGTGTAACACATCATCAATATCACGTCATGTCACCAACTAATTATAAAACAACAAATAGATTTAGTGAAGTCTACTATTCTAATATGTGAGTTATTAGATAAAGTTATTATTAGTAGCTATTAAAATAATTGAACTCACTAAGTCCATTGGTATTTTATTACTGATTAGTGACATCATATAACATTAATAATATAGTGTCACGGTTACATTCAAAATTTTCTCAAAACGCGAAAATTTTGTGAGCTGCCGATAACTTTGGATCTAGATCAAAGTCAATTGAATTTAAAATGAAACGTTGAAGTTCACCAAAATAGTTTTATATGCTTTATTGCCATTTGCTTTGCGGGTCCGAAGGAAAAAGTCAAAACTTTAAACTATTCCTGTTTTTTAGTCATGTCATTACATATATCTCAACTTGTGTTTCTTCCTAGATGAATAAAAAAAAGAGTGGTTTGAATAATATGTATATAATAAAATAGAACGAGTTTTGAATTCTAAGACAAAAAGTCGTTGAAATCAATTCGTGATAAAATAAAGTTTCCTTCGATGAACGACGCTATCTCAATTTGTTTCAAATTATTAACGTCTCAGATCATTTAAAAATTGTCTCAAGCTACTAGTATCACTTAAAATATGGTTGAAATGCAACAACTATTCAGATCTTCAACAATTGAAACCATGGAATGGTACACATGAACAACTTGGGTGGTGGTTTTGACCGTGGTGATTTTAAATAATTTAGTATAGTGGCCAAGAATATTATAAGTGTCATGTGATGGAAGCCACAGTGACTGTCTGCCTTCCGTCATTGTTAAGCAAAACCCAACTAAGATCCATAAACAAAGGCAGCATGATTTTTACATTCTATTATCAATAGTCAACCAGATCTCTTGTCCACAACTCGTGGCCGGAAGACGAGAGGTTGATTCTTCCCATTATTTGTGAATTAGGATACAATAAACTAAGGAATTTGTTAAGAATATACTATTTAGTTCTAATTTGTTGATCTCTAATTCTCATATTCATTGAATTGATAACGAATCCTCATTAATAGTGGGTTTTACTATCAACAAATTAGACCAACGAGCATTGCTCAAGTTGTAACATGTAAGGGATAGATGCATTACTGGTACTAGTGGCATTGGACAAGCTCTGAATCAATAAGCCACTGCTAGCTACAACTATTTGTATCTTCAACAGTTGAAACCATGGAATGGTGGTACCTATAAGCAACCTAGCTGGTGGTTGTGGTGGTGGTTTTAACTAATTAATTATAGTGGCCAATTATGTCATAGATTAAAGTCACCATGAATACTATAATTGTGAGTACAGGTAGATTGCTGCTGTCATGATAATTGATGGCAGCGGTAATGAGGCCTATATAATCCCTTACAATTTATTCATGAACATGATAGACAAGGTAAAACTCCAAACCTAGTCAGCTAGCTATATCCATCCCTTCATGGCAACATCTCAACCTCCTCTTTCTCCTCCCAAGCATTTGGAAGAAGATGAACAGAACCCCGGGGAAACGTCCACTAACAATACATCCGAGAAGATTCAAGCTCTATTTCCAGGTCTCCAAAACTTTGAAGCTCAGGATACTGATATCCTTGTAGCAACAAGTATGAAATCAGGTACAACGTGGTTGAAGGCACTAACTTTCTGCATACTGAACCGAAAGCTTTACCCTGACAGCCAACAACACCCTTTACACACTAGTAATCCTCACATTCTTGTGCCGTTCTTGGAATTGAAGCTCTATACCGAAAAAGAACAATTCGTTGATTTGACCTCTTTAGCCCCTCCAAGGCTCCTTTCCACTCATTTGCCATTTGAATGTCTACCAAAATTTTTCCAAATTTCAGCATGCAAGCTTGTTTATATATGTAGGGATCCCAAGGATGTGTGTGTGTCGTTTTGGCACTTCATGAACAAGATCCAAGGAAACACTCCTCTAGAAGAGTTCGTTGATAGGTTTTGTAAAGGGCAGGTTGTTCCATTTGGATCTTCTTGGGATCATGTTTTGGGTTATTGGAAAGAAAGCCTCAAAAACCCTCATAGGATACTTTTTTTGAAGTACGAGGAGATGAAAAAAGAACCTGCCTATCATGTGCGAAGATTGGCCGAGTTTTTGGGATTCCCATTTGTTCTAGAGGAGGAGACAGAAGGACAAGTGGATAAAATCCTAAAGCTTTGCAGCTTGGATAATTTGCGTAATTTGGAGGTGAATAAGATAGGAAGCGTTTTTACTAACGGGACCAATGTGCAAAACAACACATTCTTTAGGCGTGGTGAGGTTGGTGATTGGAAGAATTATTTAACAGCTGAAATGGTGGATCGATTGGATAAGATCAGCCAAGAGAAGTTTTATGGGTCTGGATTGGAGTTTTAGGCCTTCTAAATGCTTCATTCTCTCTAGCTAAAATGTTGTGGTTGTGTTATTTCATGTTTCATTGCAAGTATGTGTACTTCTTGATGTCTGGTTGTTTTCTTATGTTGTGTGAAATGGCATTCATGAGTTGGAATAAATATTTGCATTTCCATTCAAGCTTTTAAGCTGAATATCTGTCGTGCAAACCAGAAACATTGTGATGTATAAGAAGACACTAGTAAGCTAGGTCATCTCATGTTATCAATCCTACTAAGTTTCACTCAGGAAAGATAGAAAAAAAAAATGTTCTCAATCTTAGTGCATGGCTCTCAAAGCACATGAAATTGTCATGACAATGGCAACTTTTAATTTTGTAAGAAACTGAAGATCAGGTGAGTTTTGAAATGAAAGATAGATTTTGGTGTTTGATAAAACAAACAAAGAATTCAAACTTCAACAGCTACTTGGATTGTACATTGTGCCTGGCTAGGTATGAGGATGTGCATTCAGAAGGCATGGGTGCACAGTTATGAGAGAAATTATCCCGAGGCAACCACTTGTATCTTTATTAGCGATCATGTTATTATATAGAATTAAACTTGTATGTCGGTGTATTTGAAGAGCAAACTGATTGTTGTTGTTTTATCAAGATGTATTAATCTCGAGTAATACTATTGAGACTTAAAAATTTGACCTAATTTGTTAATTTAATTCATGGTGACATTTGGATTGACTGTGGACCCTATCAAACATTGAAACTTTCATCAAACATTAGAATTTGATGTTGATCTAATGATTCTTATTAAGCCATATCATTCTGTCAGTAAATTAGATCAAATTTTTAGATTCAAATAGCATTACTTATTAATCTCCCACCCCTTAAATCTTCTTTCTCACTCTGATTTAATTCTTGTACTTCAAACTATTAAGTTTATCATATTTATACCCAACCCATTATTTATTAAATACACCCCATTTATATTCACTGATTAAAAATTAAATTCATTCAATTTTATTTCAATCTCCTATATAGACAATGATCAAAATTTTATTTTGGTGCATTATTCGGAATGGAAATATTTCAAAAGCAGAACAAAACTTAATAAAAAATGCTAATAATTATTTTTAAAATATTAATCAAAATATACCAAAATATCTTAAAACACTTCAAAATATTGCAAAGACATTAATGAAAATATATTAAAACATCTCGAAATAATATAGATCACCAATGAACATTGAAATTTTGCTTAAATCATTAATTTTCTTTTGGTGTCTTTGATATATATTTAATAGTTTAAATGAATAAGTATAATTCGGGTGAACTTAATAACTAATAGAATAAGTATAAATAAAGTGAATTTAATAGTTTAAAGAAAGAAAATTAAATGGTGTAGAAAAAGCCATTGAAGAGGTGGAGCTTTGACCCGTTGACACAAATTCGACGTTAACTCGATACGAATGATTATAAAATTGACATGATTATTAAATATGCATAATAAGTAGTTTAGAATAATGTTTAATATTCATAACACACTAAATAAATTATTTTTTTCGTGGATCTTAACGTGAATACGATACGAATAACAATGACACGACACAAAAAATACGACATGTGGGTCACACAAACACGACACGATTGATATCCCTTATCTAGGGGGTGTCCATGGGCCGTGCCGGGCTAGGCCGACAAAATTTTTTTTGGTTTGGCCTTGAGTAATGTAGGCTAAAATCCTTACCTAAGTAAGTTATCAATCGGACTGGACTTTGGGTAGGGATAGACTACAAGCCTATTGGACAGGCTTGATGGGTGCAGGCCTTCTTTTAAGTTTTTTTATATATAACTTTATTTAAAAATAATTAATATTTTATAATTAATATTTATGTAAATTAAATTTTTGAATCAAAAGTAAAGTCAAAATAGATAAAAATAAAATAATGAATAATTTTATTTTTGATTAGGAATGAACTACATCTAATAAAATGAATACATTCCAACTAGGTTGACACTTATTCATTTATTTATCATTTGTATTATTTTAATTTTTAAAACTTGTATGCTTAATACATAAAAAAGAAAATAATACATTATTTATAATATCTAAAATTTTAAATTTTCAAATTCTAATATTGGGAGATTAAATTTCAATATTTTAAATTTCATGGTCTAAAAATATAATTTTTTTTTAAAAGAAGGGTGGGCAAACGGGTGGCTCTTTTTTTTTTTTTTTACATTTTTTTTAACTCTTTTTTTTTGGGGGAGAGGGAGGGAGATGGAAAAAAAGGATTTGAATTTTTGACCTCAAAAAAATAAAATTTTTATAAGCTTGAGTATCATTGAACTAAAAGTTCATTGATAGAGCGTGTGAGTTTTTGAGTCGAATTTTAACGAGTATTTTTGGGTGAGCTATTGGGTTGGACTTAAGATCGGATAGAATAATGGGTTTGAGGCAAACTCATACCCCCTTTTTAAATATATTGGGTTCGGATTCGAGGTGCTGAGTCTATTTTTTCAGATAAGAGCACCACCGGTAACCCGGGGCATGGATACCCCTACTTGTGTCTAGACTGTTGAGAAAACTTTCGGGATCCATATCACGAATCCTCAAGAACCACAACAGGTATGTGCCTTTTTTCTCTTTGTTGGCTTTTCTGCATTTGATTTTGGTTTGTTCTTGTTTTTGGGTTCCTGGGTATATCTGAAAAGTGGTCATTTGAGAGGTTAATATTTTCCTTTCTGTTTGTTTTGTGTAATGGGTTATGGGTGTTCATGGGTGTCAATAGTGTTGTTGCTCTAGTTAATGTTTTTTTCTTTAATTTTCTCAGATTTGGTGGATTCTGTTAGTGTTGCTGGGTATGTTATCTTATTTAATGTTGGTGTTTCTAACCTCCGATTTCATAGACAACTATGAACTTTTCACAGAACATGGATTATGAATATTGGAAATTCATCAGAAGAATGAACCCACCCGGATACTTATTTCTTTTTTATCTTCTCTACTCTATGTGGAAAGGTGGGGGCTATTCTCAACCCCATTACAACTTTTATTATCAAACAACTAAGTCCGCCCCGTCTATACCCGCTCTATTTCAACTAACTTCACACCATCACCATGTGTACACACTATTTTAATAACAAACCCACCTTCTATCTTTTCATAACTAGAGTTTCATTCACCATCTCATCTCATACATCCTACACAAAATAACTTTTTCAATATGGATTGATGTGTAAGATGAGTACATCACTTTCTGTATCTGGACATTATCTAAGCCTATTTTAGTTTCTGTCAAAACAACCTCTGTTAGATTAAACATGAGGAGCAACTTGTGGGCAACAATATTAACTTCTCTTTGAACGGACACAAATTGGATCAAAGAAATCTATTGAGTATATCAACGAGAATACTTTATATGGACATTTATAAATAATCAACACAAGAATTTACAATGCTTCATTTTTCCACTTTGTTACAAAAGTGTATGAATATATAGGTCTGTTTTAGTCCCTTTTTCGTATATTGTAGATCATTTATGTTTCAAACTATGATGCAGGTGGACAGTGCTAGCAAACACGGAATACTTCTTGAAGTTATAACCTAATCATAACTAAAGCTTACATATCCTCTGATGGAGTATGGTTCATGGATGGTAGGAGATACTTTTCCCATTCTTTGTAACTTTGGTTTTTTCAACGAACATACCATTGATATTTGGACTCATTCTGTGCTTTTATGACAGTCTTCAATATTTTTTTTTTTTTTGTGGTAAATAATCAGTCTTCAATATTATTGATCAAGATGGGAAGAAGATCACAGATGAAGGGGTTCGGGATAATATTGAAGAGGTGAGTTGTGTTCAGTGTGATAGTGTTTGTGTTTCTCTTTGCATATATATTAGAAGTTAAAATCCTACTGATTCCTTTGGATTCATTTTTAGTCTCTTAGGCAAGACTCATGCTTTGCTTCCTCCATGAGAAGATCTATTGGGGTTAAATCGACAATGGACTACACAGCAATTGAGTTAATAGGAAGTGACAGGCCTGGACTACTCTCTGAGGTTAGTGCTGTCCTCACCCACCTCAAGACTCAAGAGCAATGTGGTGAATGCTGAGGTATGGACCCTTAACACCCGGGCTGCAGCTGTGACGCGAGTTACTGATGAGGAAATTGGGGCTGCAATCACTGACCCTGGGAGGTTATCCATAGTAAATCAACTTCTATGCAATGTACTTAAGGGCAGCCGTAAATCCCGAGAGGCTAAGGCTGTGGTCTCTGATGAGGTCACCCACACTGAGAGAAGGCTTCATCAGATGATGTTTGCTGATCAAGAGTCAAGACTATGAGCGGGCCAGTGATGAAAATTTGGATGACAAACAAAGACCAAATGTGAATGTTGTTAATTGGTACGACATAGACTACTCACCATGGCAATGTTGACGCTGAGGGGTCAGAAGCTTACCAGGTATATGTTTTTCTAGTGGATACACATTTAGTTTGGGATTGCACAGGCCTTTGCATTTCCTTTACTTATTGAGGCTGAAAGGAAGTTTGTTTACATCTGAAGGAATACTACCTCAGACATATAGATGGATCCCCTGTGAAATCAGATGCAGAGAGAGAAAGAGTGATCCATTGTATTGAAGCTGCTATAGAAAGAAGAGTATTTGAGGTAAGGCACCATTCCATATCCAATGTCCTCCTGATATTTTTCTTTCTGCTGCTAAATGGTGCATTTGAGCACATCAACTACTCCATTTGGACTTATGTTTCCTTTGCAGCACATAAGACAGTCAGTTTGTTAGATAATATTTGCCTACTTCGTTTATTTTATGTAATGTTTCACTTCTATAGTTTTTGATGTGTTTAATGTTTGAGAGTAGTTTAAGGTGTTTTATGATGCTGCAATCCCTAATTGTCCTATTGAATCTGTGGTTCACTTATCTGTTCCATATAAAGCTACTAAATGCTTCATTCTCCAGTGGTGTCCTGATTATTTTGAGATTTATCGTCAGCTGATGCATACTTGTTATATTCAAAGAATTTTTCTTGTACATAAAATAACTCATGGCCATCAGCTAAAAACAGAAGATTCCACAACCCAGTTTGCAGGTTTTCCTTTCATAGTGCGGTATCCATAGTCCATATATTACCTTGGCCCCTCAATTTGTTTCTGTTTCCATCCAGGGTTTGAAGCTAGAATAATGCACTACTGACAGAGTTGGACTGCTATCTGATGTCACTCAAATCTTTCGTGAGAATAGTCTCACAGTCACCAGAGCAGAAGTGACAACTAGAGCAGGCAAAGCTGTTAATGCATTCTATGTAAGTTATGCATCAAGGTACTCTGTTGATGCCAAGATCATAGATTCAATTAAGCAAGCAATCGGGCAGACCATACTTCGGGTGACAGGCTGTCATGAAGAGTTAAATCAAGTTCCTCAAGAATCTCCAACCAGGGTCCTCTTTCATGGTCTCTTCAAGTCCAGATCTATAGCTAATTTTAGCTTTGATTAGATCCTATTCTTGAGTTACTAATTTAGCTCCCTCCCCCTCCCCTTGTACATTCACACCCCTCCACAAGCGATTACTAGTGACTGGAACTAAGTAGCTCCCTAGGAGAAAGAAGCCGTAGGAGGCATCCCTCCATCTCTCTTTTTCTTTATATTGGATTTATTAACTTCAGAGAGAACAACCGTTGGGATAGAATCTCGAGAACTTCATCCTACTTTTTGGGAGCTAGCCAATGACTGCGGAACAATTTGGGTCATTATGGAATAATTTGTACAGTGTAATTACTTTCAATGTCTGTTTATCTTGTAAAATTCATTAATGTCTTGTTAGAAGTCAGAGTGTACTGTTTCAATCTTTGTTGTTGGTGGCCAAACCTGAAACTGGTTGACTTCAGTTTTGTGATTGTTTTCCACGTTGTTGACCAATTGATTCACTTTTGAAACAATCCTGCAGGAAACATCAAACATTATTGGACTATTTTTTTTAGGGGTGAATGTTGGACGGGCTAAGTTGAATCCAACACGAGCTCAAGTAAGATTTTTTAATACTTGGATTGAAGTTTTTAATATTTGAGTTGGATTTGGATAAAATAATTTTAACACATTAAATTTGGACAATACTCCGATTGGGATTTTAAATTGACGGGTTCAACCTGACCTCAACCTGAATTTAGGAAATTAGGTTCAACATAAAACTTGCAAAAGAAAAATGAAAATTATAAACAAACAAACACACACACACACACACAGATATATATATATATATATATATATATAAAATGTTAGGGCATTTGCACCACACTACTTATCCATTACTATTGATGTTTTAAGTCTATTACAGATGCAAAATTATTATTATTTTTTTTCAATTAATTTTTATTAATGGAATTTATAGAATTTAAATTCAATTTTGGAGTTGAACACAAAACTAAACTCTATCTTCAGTTCAATTTGAGTTTCGATTTCATAAAAAAAAACTCAATTTCAACTAAGTTTAACCCAAAGTACAATTTGAATCGTGTAACCCGAATTACAACTCAATCTACCATTTTATCATATTACATCTATATCGTGTTTATTTTTAGGCCCCTAATACGGATCCCAAGTTTGGATTGGAGATTAATAGATGATATTTTGCTAAAAAGACAAAACACAACTGTACATTTATCTCATGCTTTATCATACCAAATGTCCTACCACTAATTGTACCATTTTATTATCGTGTTGTACTCGACTTGACCCATATAACAAGTGGATAAAACAACTTAAAACTAGACCCCATTACTTTTCAAACAAACATATCACTTACAGATTCTCATTTTAGGAAAATCCACCAAGTCTTTCGAACTAGCAAAAACAAGTAAAAAGAAATCTCTCAACTCAATTTACAATGATTCATATCAGTATGATAGTAGCTGATAATTTGTCACAAAGATGATACATTTATTCACATAATACTAGTTAGACGTGTTTATCTTATCAAATTTTGGTTTAATTTGACTCATTTATCATCGGTGATAGTATGTTATGTCATTCTTATCGATAACGAGTCAAATACAATTCATTAATTTCAAGTCGGGTTGTGTTAGGATATCGTGTGGAACTTTGCCATCTATCCAACTTACAATTTTGGACACGATTTGGTTATCAAATTGAAAAATATTTTTTAGATTTAATTTTGATATTATTTTCTGATTGAATGTATAATTAAGTGCAGGTCTTAAGTAATATTGGGATCCAGTATTAATTCTGATTCTTCGGAGTTGAATCCAAATGGCAACCCGAACCTAACATTCTAGAAAGAAGGCCCAAGCCCAATGTCAAATCCCAAGAAGTCAACCACGTGGACCCCATCACCAAATCAAACTTTTCCCCCAAAGCTACCCTTGAAAAACTCCATATCTACTACTACCGACTAATCAAAGCCATACGTCAGCGCCTCAGCATCTTCCAAGATGGTTCTCCATATTCACGCTGTATTCCTCACTCTCAGCGTGCTTCGCACACCAGCCGTTTATTTGTAAATCTTTTGTTTTCCCTCTTCTGTCTGTCTGTCTGTCTCTCTCTCTCTCTCTCTCTCTCTCTCCGAAGTCCATGATCGATCGGGTTTCATAGAGTTCTTTTCAGGTATGTTGGATGATTGGCACTTCTTGTTATTATTGAAATTTCAAATTTTTTTTGTGGAATTTCCTGTTTGATTGTTTCAACGTGTTTTAATTTATTTGTCTGATTAAGGTTTGATTTAGTGTTGTTGGCAATTCGCAATTGTGGGTATGAATTGGGCTTGTGATTGTTTCTGGTGCTTTTCATTAGGGTTAAGGATTTTCTGGAATTTTGTTGTTATATCAGCTCTGTGCTAGTGGGTAGGTACAGAATTGCATGTTCTTGTTTGGGTTATAAGGTTACGTTTAGGGTTTCATTCTGGTAAGTTGTTAGTGGTTCTGTATATGATACATTTTGTTGGGGAAGCAGCTGATTTGTGCGTTTGCTTCTCTTAAGTCTCAGAGAGCATTAGATTATGCGGAGTTTGGTCAAAGAGATATTTGATCCTGGCATCAAGCTGATGTGAGATGGAGAATACATATGGGAGAAATGGCGATGGATAGCTTTCAAGAACCATTGGGAGGGAGGGGAAGAGTGGCTTGCTGCATTCCTTCCTTTCAAAATATTGTATCTAGATTGGACTGGTGTGGATGTTTTGCTTGATTGAATGGTCCCTTTTGTTGCTTTTAAACAAATCAACTTTTGGGCCAAGTGTTGCAAGTCAATAGTGGCCAAAGGTATAAAAAGGAGGGACATAGGGAAGAGGAAATTAATGATACTCACTCTAGTCCATAAATAGTTTGCATCAATTGTTGTTTTAAATTCAATTCCTTACGGATCTGAAAAATGGGCTGCTAGTGGGTTTGTTTGTTGTGCTGAATGCCACCAGGTGAGTTAGATCAGCATAGACAATGGATGTCACATCTGGTGTGGTTGAGAGAAGACTAAATGTTTGATCTGGTGAATCGTGGATCCAGAATTAGTGGCATTGGTATTGAGTCTTTTTTTGCTCTTGATTTCTAGGAAGTGGTTTTTTTGTGTTATATTTACATGGTTAAGTGGTAGTTGGGGAGCTTTGTTGCTTGTATGCAAATTTTGTTCTTATCAGTTATGCCAGCATGTTTTTTATTTAACACATGGACTAGTGTGCTTTGTGGGTAAATATACATTTTTGGTTTATAAATTGTTTGGGAAATAGTGAAGCGAAGATTCATTTGATTATATAACTGCTGAATTAGATTAACATTAGTGTATTTGTGTTGTTTTTTAAATTGTGTATTTTTATAAATTCTTAATAATGAATTGATTTATGAATTTTTCTTATTCGAAAAATCAATTATGAATCAGTACAGGAACAAATTATGGGCACTTAATGTATAGATTATAGAAAAAAGCTGTGTCTAAAATAAAATATGGTTCCCCCAAAATTTAGCCAAGAGTAGAATGGTGATTGGATTGTGAAATGTGAAAATGCAATAGTTGCATAACCTACTCTTTAATCCAAGATAAGCATCTCAACTCCGTCGAGGGGTCTCTTCTATTTACCACCCTACGAATATACCAAATCAACAATGGAGGGTTGTCAACTCGACTATCTTGCCCTTCTGCATTCCTATGAAGTAACCTAATTTTACTGAAGTTAACCCGCAAAGATTTGTTGAAGAATGAACCTCATCTGTCTAGCTGCTCTGCTATGAAGTAGTAGTGGATTTACATTCTCTCCCGCTTCCCTAAACATATAGCACCAGTTCATGATGAACCTCCACTTCCCCAGATTTTATCCCTCAACAAAGGCTCCCAAGTCCCTCTCCAGGCAACACTTTCTTCTGGGCATCCGGGCACTTTGATTTAGCAAGAGCAGAGAGCAGTCCCTCACATCGGCACATAGGTTTTCACTGGGAAAATGCCATTTTTAGCCACTCTTCACCTCCCCTTATCGTCCTCATTGTTTCTCATGTTCTTGGAGAAATGCAAATTAATTCATTGTTACCTTCTCCTAATCTTTAAGAGCTCTATAGAATCTATGACCCCGAACTGTATCATCCAAGAGAATCCTACCACCTCCGCCAGCAACTTACCTTTACTCAGAGGGATGCAAAAAGGATGCAAAATGCTTCCTCCTATGTTACATCTCATCACGTATTCTACTACAATGTAATTGTATTGCTGTTTCTCACAACGATCATGATAAATATCAAGAACTCTCCTGTGTTGTATGAATATTGAGTTGATTTGTGTATTTAATGATATGTTTTCCCCTATTTATGGTAAATAAAAGTTTGGAATACTTTATTATTATCTGAAAATATTTAGTCCTGGACAAAAAATTCTCTAATATCAGATGTTGATTTCCAATGTACTTTATTATTTTTCTAGACCATCTTAATTTCCTCGATTATCTAATGTTCCTAGATTTGAACAGGTGTACACATTAGACTAATTCGAAGTAATTGTAGGGACACTATATGACATATTTAGTATTCAATTATGTAGCTTGTATGAGTGTAGGACCATTTCTGGTAATTTGGTCATTTTTGTAACTATGTAGACAGCACTTGAATTAGAAAATTGTCATTGTTCTCTCTGTGATGCTTGTGTTAAGGTTTCAAATTGCATATGGTTTTGTGGCTCTTTGAAATGAAATAGAAGTTTGACAATTTGTACATGAAGTTTGTTTAAAACTTATTAGATGAAGTTTGGTGAGAATAGATGAAATTTAATGTAGAGAAGTAGTTGTAAGTTTTGTTGATTTCTTGACAATTGTAAGGGGAAGTAATATGAATTGGTCACTATATCAAACTAAGGGATCTTTGAAACCTCAGTAGAAGTGGTTGTCCCTTCCATAGTTGTCAAATTGCAATTTGTATCGTGAATCGGAATTCTAAATTTGGGAATCGTGAATCGTAAGAGTTGACGTAAAATTTGAATAAAAAAAAAAATAATACTAAATATTTAAAATAGGCAAAATATTGAATATTATTGCATTCTAAAAATAATCAATTGACATAATCACGTTGTCTAAATGGAAGGATGCTTGCCTTTTGTTTAATTTTCATATTTTATTTAACTATTTTCAAATTCAACAATTTGAAAAAAAAATATATTAAAGAACCATGACTATTCAAGAAATAAAATAGTGACACCCTGTATAGATGAGGTTACAAACATGAATGAAAAAAAAATAAAAAAGAAAATTGATTGGGAGAAAACATAGAGACCAACATTTTGAAATAAAAAATTAAAACCTAACAAACAACTCATGAAAGAATTGAGAGCAAAAAATCAACTGATTATATAAGAGTAGTAGCTTTGACCTTTAGCTGTAGACAACGCAAGGTGAGCTTTAGACAATATTAGAGAGAGCACGAACAAAAAAGTTGATTTTTATTTGGACGTGAGTTCCTCTTCAAACAAAACGACGTCGTTTTACTGTTTAGCAGACAAAATGATATCGTTATGCCAAAAAATTTGGATTTAAAAAAAAAAAAAAAGCAATTGAATCTTGTGATTCGTGAGATACGAATCGAATCGTACGATTCAAGTATGATTCAACTCTGAAACAATTCTCATGTAAGATGCGAATCGTTTTGTACTTGTATCGAACGGAATTGTATGAATCGAATTGCGAATTGTACGATTTTGATAACTATGACCCCTTCTCCCTGGATCCATCCCCATATTCATTTTAGGTGATTTGATGACTTTGAGGCCTTTAATGTAGGAAGAAAGATGGAATACACTGATTGCCGTTTGTCTTGCTTGGTTGTTTGCACGTTTCTCTCAATCCACATGTTCATTTGCGAAGGTAGTCCAAATTTTCCATAATGGAAAATGGAGGGAAATCTAGTGCATTGGCAACTGATGAGAGCATTAAATTAAAATTTTATTTTATTTTCTAACCCTTTCCGAGTCATAGTAAAAACATTAGGACTTCTTTATGATCATTTTAAAATTATGCTGCAATCAAAATAATATTATAAATAGCTGTGGTGGTTGATTGACAAACCTTCTAGACAAATGTCATCATTTGTTTATAGTCAAATTATGGAATTCAATAGAATATTGAGGAGCACATGTGGGCTTTATACTCGTATAAAATTGTAAGTTCCTTTTGGGAGTCATTTCTGCTGAAAATGCAGACTTTTTTATGTTAAAATTTACAATTTTATCTGTGTGTATATATATCTGCTACTGTTCTTATTTTAAATCAAGTGACTCTGGACTGGATCTTAAGACCAGTAATTTTAAACGGAATATCACATATACTAAATGTTTCATGTGATTCAAAATATCATGTATGATCTGACTCTTTGAACTGGTAGAATCTTAATTGTGACAAATGGATAACTTTCATGAATTTTTATCTCCCTGTTTATTGTCCTGTTATGCAGTGATTAATGGGGAGAAAGGGAGCATCTATCGGTCTTTCTCAGCCTACACCTTGTTCTGGGAGGAAGACACTGAAAAGGTGCAAGAATAATGAGGAAGCAGATAATGTGGTTGTGATTGACGTTGAAAATTACAGTTTCGATGATGTTATCATTATTGACGTTGCTGAAGCATTCCCGAAGAAACTACAAGGTTCAAGTGCATTGAGAAAAGATAGAAAATATCCATTGAGGACTGTCATTTGCATTGATGATGATAATGAATACACTAACAATGAGGATCCTGAAATAGAAGTCACAGATGATGGCAACTTCCACAGTGATGCCTCCTCCTCCACAATGAGATCTTGCCCTGCTTCCAACCACCCGCGAAACTCTACGGATGCAGGTGATGATGGGTGTCAGTTTGATCAGGAAAAGACGTCGCCAGTGAGGTTGTCAAAGTGCAAACGAACCTATTCTGGAAAAGCTTCATCCAGAAACCGTTATGGTCTGAATACTGAATTCGGGAGTGGTTCATCCAACAATGATTGTCCTGATTGTGAGGTTATGGAAGACTCTTCTGGGAAGCTTCGAGAGAAATGGGAAAGAGCTTCCTCGAAGAGGAAGTATGATGTCCACAATGGTCAATCCGGAAGGGGAGACTATGCTAGTGTTTCTAGGGTTTTTACTGACACTCACCAAGATATTGGATTAGAAAAGAAGACTGAGCAGCAAATGGAAACCCCGGTTTGCACTTGTTCAAGCAAAGCTGATTGTGAACAAGAAGACCTATCTCCTTTTAATGCAATGGGTGATGGCAATTTGGGGAGCACTTCTCAAAATTCAAAGAAGACCACCTTTGATGATTTGTCTTTGAAGTCAATGCCAAAAACACAAGACTTTCAGGCTGATGTTCCGCACAGAGCAGACCCGTTAACAGAAGATCCTTCCTGCACATATACAGAGCGGCGAAATCATCAATACTTTGAGAAAGGTGGTTCCAGTTTTCACAATGAAGAAGAACCAAATTCTCATGCACACAAATCTTTCCAGGATAGAGAGAAAGCTCCGCTGGCAGAACCTTGTTTGTCTAAATGTGAGTCAAGTGTTGTTTTTTGCCAGCGGAAAGCTTTTTTGGCAGATGAAGAGGCTCCCTCATTTGATGGCAAACATTCAGTTGAAACTGAAATGGATAGTGGCAAATTTGTTTTCGGAGACAAAGATGAAAATTTTCTGCAGACACCTACTTGCAACTCTCATTTTTCGGAGGAGCCAAACGATGGAAGAATTATTTCTGAGAACCTGAAATCCATGTCCAGATCATCTTCATTTTTGAATACTCAAGCATTTGATGAAACACAGGTTAATCTTTGTCCTTCCAGTGACAAAGTCAGAGTTAATCCTGTGGAAGCTTTCTGCCACATAAGTCCATCACTAGGAACGTCAGGAATCAGTGTTGAAAAGGATTGCCATCAAGAAAATGGAGAACGATCTACTGAGGAACCAACTTTCTACAACTGTGTTCTTAATGAAGCACAACCTAAACAGGAGAGGTCTCTAATGGTGGAGGAAGAAAAAGAATTAGATGAATCCGTGACCACTGGTCAGCAGAATGATGAAAGTTATAATTTATTGCACAATCAAGGTGGTGATGTTATGCATGCTGTTCAAAGTTGTATTATTAATGAACGGGAAATTCTGAAGCAGACTGATGACTATAAAAGAGCAATGGAGGAAGAATGGGCATCCAGGCAACGGGAGTTACAGATTCAGGTTTGTATTGTATACAGCTTCCTTTATTTACTTTTGTTGTGATGTGGTTCTATTTTCATCTGTGCATAATGTTCACGTCTTGCTATTTGATGTCCTTAAAAATTGAGGTATCTTAGTAATTCTAAGCTAACAATAATGGGGGGAATATTACCTATGGGAGCTAAAGCAACCAGATGGAGCTTATTGAAGAGGAAAGTATGTAAAAACCCATTTGTCCCATATGCGGGGAAGGCCGTGGGAACTTGAGACTGTGTGAACTGGGGTTCACTCTCTTCTAGCTTACCTATTGTATTTCATGTGGAAGGCACAAAATGAGTAGATAAACTATAACAAACAACCGAGAAGTAATGGCGTTATCGATTTTGCCTTGAAAGCAGCTGCAGCTGCAGATACACATCACCTCATCCCAACTTCACACCCAGACCAAACAGCACCATTTACTTCCCCAAAGCAGGATACAACCACCCTCCTCATGAATCAAAAATTAATTTTTATGGAGCCTTTCTGGTGAAGACAAAGAGAGTGGCATTTGAGGTGGGTAGTAGAGACGATTCAGGCCAATTATATCCTTTGGAACCATGTATGCAGCCTCCTCACTGGCAACTGAGGCTTGGGCGGTAAGAGAAGAAATGAAATTAGCACTAACAAATTGATACCAGGCAACAATTGTGGAATCAGATTGCACAGCTCTCAGTGACTCATTGACTCTATGTAAAGAGCCTATGGAACTGGCATCTGGAACTACATCCGGCGGGCCCCCTCGGCTCAATTTCATGCTACCACGAGGACAAGCAAATCAACCAGCACACTTGATAAGAACACAAGCAAAGAGGGGAATCATAGGCCCTCACTTGGCAGCAGCACCTCCAATACAGATTATCAGGTCATTGAGAAGGAGGCATGGGAAGGAACAACAGCTAAAAGGAGGACTTGGTTCTGGTGCTAAAATTTGCAACTGTTTATACTGTATTCACTTTCTCAAATCTTTAATGATCACCAAAAAAGTAAGTTAAACACCTAACAAAGCTGATCATGGGTCTTTTGTGCTGCCGGTGACTCCCCCTTATTTCATTGTCAATGCCTCTGGCTAATCCTTGCAATGGTAGCCATAATTGTCCCCAGGCGTTTACTCCTCTTCCCTCCATGAGTTGTTGGCTATGGCCACATTAATGCAGATCATGGGACAATATGATTGCCAACAGCAAGATGAGGTACATATCTTGTTGAATGAGAGGAAAGGATGGCAGAAAGAAAAAAAAAAATGTTGATGCTGAGCATACAAAAAGGTTAATGAAGAAGAATAGGATGGTGGTTTTGGAAGTTGTTGCCCAATGGTGGTGGATTCATTATTGGTTCGGCCTGGTTCAACCAGTCTGAATGCCCTGTGGATGGAAAGTTGTTAGGAAACAAATTTTGAGAGACCTTGGAGGAAAGAGGAAGGGGAAGACAAGGTCTGTTTTGCAAGTTACTATGTTGCCCTCAATTTATCTACGAATAAAGGAATGCTCGGCATTTTTTCCATTAAAATTAGGCACAATGCTAATGTTAGTTTTGTCATGGGGTGGATTAGCAGTTCCCTATGAGTATTGGACTCGGTGTATTTGTAGAACATTCATGCCTGCGCTGTCTATTGGATAAACACTTGAGTTGGTATTTAATGTGCTTTTCCTTTTTGGCAGGCGGAAGAAGCACAACAGCTGCGGCGCTTACGGAAGAGAAGAAAAGCTGAAAGCATGCGTCTCCTGGATATGGAAAGAAGACAAAAGCAACGGCTGGAGGAAATGAGGGAGACTCAAAAGAAGGTTTGCAATATTCTCTCATTCACCTTTCCTAGAAATTGCAATTAGTCTATTATACTCTGTTAGCTTTCTTTCTTCACTTTGGCTTTTTGTTTCCTCACATTTTTTAGCTATTCATGTGATTTCCCTTTTGTTTGGCTGGAGATGGGTATTAAGTTTCTAAGGTTATTGTCAAATATTTGCATTTTATGTTTTAGGATGAGGAGAATATGAACCTGAAAGAGCAAGTTCGTGCAGAAGTGAGGAAGGAGCTTAATAAACTGGAAATATCATGTCATGATATGGCTTCACTATTGCGTGGCTTAGGAATCCATACGAGTGGTGCACTACATCCATTACCTCATGAGGTGAGTTGCTGTTTGTCTGTAGTGTTCCAACTCTTATGCATGTGGTGCATATACACTGATGATATTTCGTTTACTAAATTCAAATATTTATTGGCCCATCTATCTATCCATAATTACCGAATATATGGGTTGTGTGTTATTCTTTATAGCTTCCACTGAATTGCAGTGACTGGATGTTTATTACACTAGAATTAATGAAACACTTGATGCTTCTGTTGAAATAAATTGGTTGGCAGCTATGAAGCACAGATACTTCAAAAGGATTAAAGTATCAGTATCAGATACTTCTTGGATACGGATATGCGTACGTATTCGATATGGCTGAAAGTATCCTAAAATTAAAAATAAATAAATTTGAATTTTGGATACTTCAAGATACGCAAAGGATACAGCGGGGTATAACTTGAATTTTTTAAAAAGAATAGGGGCAGTAGAACAAATGTGTTTGGACCCTTATTTGCCAACAAAAAAAAAGAGAGAAAAATTTATGAGTGTACGATTTCTGAATGATAGAATGGTTAGTTATTATTATATATAGTTGATAGATGTGTGATTCACTTTATAAATCATAATTATTACATTAAATATAATAATAAAATTTTTAAAAAATATATTTTATGGGCGTATCATAGACCTACCCGTATCCTATTTTTTTAGGTTTTTACGTATCGACATATCTGTATCGTATTTGTATCCGTATCCCGTATCCTGTATCCATATCCGTGCTTCATAAGTTGGTAGTCATTTTCTTTACTAGTGGCCTTGTGCAAAGATATTTATAGAGGCATGCGTTGGGTTGTTTATTTGTTGGTTTCCAAGTTTGATAATCCTGATTACAAGCTAATACTTGGGTTGTGTTGAGCATTGTTGCCCTTACTAAACTTTATATTTCTTTGGCTTAGTTTGAAATTGCATTGGTCTGTAATAATCTGTTGGAAACCTCTTTAATTTGTCAAATGGAAGACTGCTGAAACTGTAGGCCATTTTACTGGATTTGCTTGATCTTTTGGTTAGGGGTGGTGTAGGAAAGGGATGCCTCCTGCATTGAAATGTTGGTTAAGAACATTCAACCTATCCACTTGATAAAAGCTTGCAAGTGGCATTGAGGTCCATGGTTCGATCATCACTTCTCTGAAAGGAAATTTTTTAATGGTTATGTTTATATGTGCAATTTTGGCCTTCTGGCAGCCTGTTTATGATCTTAATTTTTCTGTAGTTAATCCTTAATTTTATAGTTGTTTACTGACAGTGAATGTCAATTTCAGGTGCATGCAGCTTATAAACGGGCGGTGCTAACCTTCCACCCAGATCGAGCCTCGGGATCTGACATGCGTCAGCTGGTTGAAGCTGAGGAGAAATTTAAGCTTATTTCTCGGATGAAGGAGAAATTTTTGTTGACTTCATGATACCCTAATGCAAACAAATTGTTAAGATTATTACCAGAGCTTTTCAGTCGTCTCACTTTTAGGGTTTGGATGTTGTTCTAGGTATGCCATGCTACCACTGGCATTTAGTCCATTTGCTCTCTCCCTGTGGGTAGGCAAATCATTTTTTGTAAATCGGTTTGTATTCATAAGCCCTGCAGAGCAATTTTAGAGGAAGTGTACTCCCTTTTTGTTTTAGTTTTCAGTTTTGGCATGATGTTTAGACTGCTGCATTCTCTGTTACGAAATGTAGATTATGGAACATAGCAATGTTTATCAGAAAGATGTAAAGGGTATGACAAGGACTTTTACTGTTTCACCATGTTTTATTCAAAGGATACAGATTCTGTTGGCTTTTGCATTACAGTTCTTGTTGGACGATACAATGTTAATGACTGCGCACACCACAGCATGGGATTGCAATATTTATATTTTAAATAATAATTTTTTTTAATTATGCAATTTAAAATTAAAATGAAGAGAGGGGTTGGTTTGGATTGATTGAATTGTTTAACATTGGGGCTGTGTGGAGAAATTGATATTTTTGTGCGGAAAAACAAATTGTGATAAATTTTGTACCATTGGATTAAAATAGATAGACAAGTCTAGCTGTAATATTATATAGATAGACAATAAATAAGGCCGAGCAGCTAGACTTGCATCAACAAAAGCCAAAATATATACTGAATGAAGACTGGGTTCTCATAAGATTGTGTGTGTTATTAAGTTGTGACCATGATCAATATATTTCAAGATGGTTATTGCCTTCTGTGTGTAATCCTCAGATGCTTAAGCTGCAACTACTTGATGAGCTTCCTCACAAAGCAAGAAGCAATGGCCAAACCTTCAACAGTAAGTTTTGGTGCACCCTTATTAACAATTGTACATGCCCCTACAGAGCATGAAGCATCATCTGAACCCCACGTTGTGGGCTAATAGTCAGAACAGGAACAGGTGAGTGAATGTAAGCTGGGGAGAGGGTGAACGAGTAGCGCTGCAGAATCATTGATAGTGTGATCTTAGCTTCATTAGTTGCAAAGTTTAGGCCTACGCAACTTCGGGGTCCCAAGCCAAAGGGAAGATATACTGCTGGATTGTAATTGGTAGCTTTGGCAACTCCTTCTGAGAATCTCTCTGGCTTGAAAAGGTGTGCGTTTTCCCCCCAGATTTGAGTGTCATGGTGAAGTGCAAGAGTAGGAACATGTACTTTTATATTGGCTGGAAGTATGATGTCCCCCATTTTGACTTCCCTTTTAACTTCTCTTAGAAGGGCAATCACCGGAGGGTACAGTCTTAGAGATTCGTGAATGATCATGTTCATCTACACCAAAGAGGAGAAAAAAACAAAGAATGACACAAATAAACATTGAATTAGGTGATGTTCTCGAGTTAATAAACTCGATAAGCATGAAGTGCATACCATTTTTAGTCTTGCAATACCATCTGAAGTCGGAAGTTGTTGTCCAAAGGTTTTGATCACTTCCTGCCTTGCTTTCTCTTGCCAATCTGTGTGGATTGATAGAAGAAGAACGGTCCATGAAAGCAAGCTTGTGGTGGTTTCATGTCCAGCAATGTAAAAGGTCTTGCATTCGTCAACCATATCTTGTTCTGTAATCCTGTTGCCCTCATCGACGTTATGGTTAGACTCTAGAAGTAATCCAAGAAAATCACCCCCAAAGTTGTGCAATCCTCCACTTGTTGCCTTCTCTCTTTTCTTTATAATCTTGATAATTGAATCTCGTATTCCTTGTTCAAGTTTCTCTGATTCGATATTATCACCACTTTTAAAAAATAGACTGCAAATATGGATGAGTCACTCATTTAAACAAAGAATGAAAGGAAACTTAACATTATTTGTTCAAGCTTCCTATCCTGTTACTGAAAATATAACTTATGTACAAAATCAAACTAAAAGGGTGCAAAACTACAGATCCAAGTGTCTGCCACGAAGGGCAGCGCAGCTATTGAAGTCAGTTATCTTAGTCCCCTTTAAAGACAGAATGAAGGCTAAGCATTTGGTCAGGAGTGCGTATAGCCAAGGTTCATGCTCGAAATATTTTCAGTAATCAATTATCTATGTAATAATCTTCTACTGCCTACTACAAGTGTAGCACAGGTGATAATTTGTATACGAAGGAATGAGTTTACCTGAGGGCAGGAAGTCTGATTTTAAAAGCATTTCTGGCCATTAAGTTAGTCAACTTCATCAACATCTCAAAAATATCCTTTCCTTCTAAATAACTGCTCCCAAAAGCTGTCCTGGATATCACGTCTGATGTTAACTGTCTGAACTCTTCAAACACATCAATCTCTTTTCCTTTATACTGTTTCCACCTCTCCAGCATAATCTCCACACTCGTGATCATTGCTGGAGTCATATTCTACAAGCATATATCGCTTTATGTTGTTAATCCTTCACATATTGAATGAGATTTACAGTTATTTTTCATATGCAAAATGTCAAAAGTATGTATTGATAATTATGCACAACATGATTTGGTTGAAGCAACAAGGAGAACACTGATCGAACAATTTGAAGAATAATCAAGTTAAATCAATTACTTTCAAGCTTTCTGCATGAAAAGCATAATGGGCTAGTTTCCTTCGATGGGCCCATTTTTCACCATCTAGCGCGACAAGACCACCTCCAAATAGCTTCTTTAAAAAGCCTTCTGAGTCCATTGTCTGGTAAACTTTATCTCTGTTGTTCAGTATCTCTTTCACAAACTCCAGTTCTGTAACTACAATCTGAGGTTTCGGACCATACCAGAAAACAAAATTTGTTCCTGTTCAAGAACCAAAACAACTGAGTGGAAAAGCAAAGCTGATTGAATTAGGATCCTAGAAAACAGAAACTTAAACATAGTTGTCAACTTACTATACATATTAAGCCAAGAATAAATGTGAGGCTGAACCCTTGGAAATATGTTATGAGATAAATCCATGGGTCTGCTCATGGTTTCCTTCCTCATGTTCAAGATTTCTTTAGTGCTGCCATGGAGGAATCTGTAAGAAGGGCCTTTGATTCCCTGTGACCTCAGCATATGTTGTATGTGAATTGGAGTCCACCATACATTACGAAAGAACTTGATAAATATCAAGAGGAGGTAGAGACTTAGAGAGATCGCAAAGAAGACTACTATGGTTCCAACAGTATCCATATTTGTTCAACTTCAATCTTTAGCATCAACTGATCTATATATTTGACATTCTCTAAATTTTGTCTTGATTTTATCCTCATGAAGGAAATTGGAATCTTTGAGTTTAAAGAAGACAGCAAGAAAAATACAAGATTTTTTTTAGTGGGGGAAAATACAAGATTTGGCTATATCTAAATCATGACCTTGTCTCCAATTCTATGCATTTCCATTTCTTTTACTTTTTCTTTCCATTTCATCTTGGTTAATCTACCCATGCCTATCAGACCATATTGTTTCCTGGTAAATACTATGCCTTTCTTTGGAATTGATTGAAGTTCAGCCATCTTATATAGCAACTTTCCTCTGTAAATTCACATTAAGGGGCCAATGTGACCATTGTGAAGGAAATGGAGATTTCAGAAACTTTATTTGGTTATGTAGGGAATTATAGTCACTATAAATTGAAAGCAAGTCATCATAAAGATTGTAGGATGCCAGCAAATGTTCTAGCAGTTTATTTTAGGGACTTATGTATGAAGATTCTTCTTATTGGAGCCAAGCCACAGATATCATTTGGCATGTTGAAATTCCTCCAGGCACAATATATAAGTCATTATTGTGGAAGTTTTTNCTTTCACAAACTCCAGTTCTGTAACTACAATCTGAGGTTTCGGACCATACCAGAAAACAAAATTTGTTCCTGTTCAAGAACCAAAACAACTGAGTGGAAAAGCAAAGCTGATTGAATTAGGATCCTAGAAAACAGAAACTTAAACATAGTTGTCAACTTACTATACATATTAAGCCAAGAATAAATGTGAGGCTGAACCCTTGGAAATATGTTATGAGATAAATCCATGGGTCTGCTCATGGTTTCCTTCCTCATGTTCAAGATTTCTTTAGTGCTGCCATGGAGGAATCTGTAAGAAGGGCCTTTGATTCCCTGTGACCTCAGCATATGTTGTATGTGAATTGGAGTCCACCATACATTACGAAAGAACTTGATAAATATCAAGAGGAGGTAGAGACTTAGAGAGATCGCAAAGAAGACTACTATGGTTCCAACAGTATCCATATTTGTTCAACTTCAATCTTTAGCATCAACTGATCTATATATTTGACATTCTCTAAATTTTGTCTTGATTTTATCCTCATGAAGGAAATTGGAATCTTTGAGTTTAAAGAAGACAGCAAGAAAAATACAAGATTTTTTTTAGTGGGGGAAAATACAAGATTTGGCTATATCTAAATCATGACCTTGTCTCCAATTCTATGCATTTCCATTTCTTTTACTTTTTCTTTCCATTTCATCTTGGTTAATCTACCCATGCCTATCAGACCATATTGTTTCCTGGTAAATACTATGCCTTTCTTTGGAATTGATTGAAGTTCAGCCATCTTATATAGCAACTTTCCTCTGTAAATTCACATTAAGGGGCCAATGTGACCATTGTGAAGGAAATGGAGATTTCAGAAACTTTATTTGGTTATGTAGGGAATTATAGTCACTATAAATTGAAAGCAAGTCATCATAAAGATTGTAGGATGCCAGCAAATGTTCTAGCAGTTTATTTTAGGGACTTATGTATGAAGATTCTTCTTATTGGAGCCAAGCCACAGATATCATTTGGCATGTTGAAATTCCTCCAGGCACAATATATAAGTCATTATTGTGGAAGTTTTTGCTAATCAATCGAGTATTGTTCCTATTAAGATCCTTATCCCCCCCAAAAAAAAAACTGGTATTGACAAATAACAGACAGTTCTAGAGAGCATTGATTATTAGTTGTTCAATCGAGGATTGAATATTATGTGTACAGGCAAGGATACATAATCCAGAGAAAGAAAACAATGGTGTCATTCTTGGAAAACAGTATGCGACATGGTATCACCTCCGAGGGGGTATTCCAACTCAGGAGCAATAGTTACTTCAAAATCATAAGACTAATGTCATATGATTATCCCAAGAGATACGATATGCCACTTGCAGTCTAGCCTTTGTTCGCAAAGATTACTTGAAAGTGATAGATTATTGTAGTTAATGGTTACATGTTTTGACAGGCCATTTCATTTTCACAGATCAAATAATTCAGAGGATGAATCCTAATTTACCAGTTACTTTCGCCAAAATAATTCGAATTTTATTATAGTTTTTGGTATTTTTAAACCATCAATCCACAATTAATTTCCATGTGAAGCCAAATCTGGTATCTGGATGTGTTTGTCTTCTATTTCCAATCAATATATTCCGAGGCCCATTAGAATACAAAAATAGCAGCATAAATGAAAATCTAAGAGATGCTAAAGATCAGCTAATCTTGAGTTCACACTTGAACAAGTATGGATGTGATTGGGGCTCTCATAATCTTCCTTTCAACCACTCTGTGCCTCTATCTTGTTCAGGCTATCCTTAGGTTCCTTCGTAAGGTGGTGTTGACTTCACCAATTGGCATACAGAATTCGATGAGTTCATGGAATTAAAGGGCCCCTATACAGATTCCCTCATGGGAACACCAATGAGATCTCCAACATGAGATATTCGTGGAAAGATCGTATGGCATATTCCAATGATGCAGCCTCATGTGTGTTCATGGCCAAAGATTTATGGTAATAATATATTGTCAACTGCAATATTTATAAGGTTATGAGAGAGAGAGAGGTAATGGCAATGAAGCATCAAGAACAGAACACAGACAAGCTTTCTTGCATTCTTCAGGCCAGCAGGTCAATGTGTCTTAAGTTACTATGGCAGCAATAAATTGTTAAAAGGAAGTAAACTATTAGGTTCACATATCTGGATTGATTATTGTAATGCATAAATAATTTTGTTAACGACATTTACAGAAGCATCCCTGTAACGGGACAATAACACATCTTAATTAATCAAGTTATTGGTGCTTCTAGGATATTTTCCACAGGCCAGGTCAAGCGCAGCGATAAGTTTATTCCATGTGACATGAACACCATGGATTAGAGTCACGAAAACTGACTCTCCGCATATGTGGTGACATTACAGTAGGAGATTTGTGAATTTTGGGTAGCTAGTTATGACCATATGTCATATGGGAATTATTCAAACTTTGTTATATAATCTGATATAGACTTATTTCAATGAAATCAAGCATATATAGTGAATCTCACAAGATTCTATGTTATTAAATTGTGACCATGATCACTTTTCTCATGATGGTTATGTTCCTTCATAAGGTATGGTTTACACCAATTGGCATACAGAATATGGTGATGTCCCAGAGAATTAAAAGGCACCCCTTATAGATTTCCTCATGGGAACACCAAGGAGATCTCCAACATGAGATGCCAGTCCTTGGGCAAACCCATGGACATATCACACAACATATTCCAAAGAATTCAGCCTCATGTTTATTCGTGGACAAAGATTTATGGTACGATATAGTTGTCAACTGCAATTTCGTAATCTATCAGCAACACTGTGCATTCAAACTCGTAACTTGCAGTACTCTTCCTGTATTAGAGGTGGTGGAAAAAAATAAGCAAAAAGGAATGTACAACAAAGTACACCTGAATTTTGTTAGTTCTTTCATTGTAAGCATAACAAGTTGGATTTTGAAACACCACCTAGGGTACAACATCTTCAAGCTCTTGCGACGTTTCACAAGAAACCAAACTAATGTGAGGTTCTTTGTTTTATCATGTTTGCTTTTCATCTTTTTTCTTTGATAACAGGGATGAATTTTCTAAATTGGCATGGTTCACAAGCCCAACTGTTTGTTACGGAACCAGAGCTAATCAGAGAAATACTGAACAACAGAGAAGGTGCTTATCCAAAAATGGACATGGCAGGCTATTCAAAAAAAAATGTTAGGAGAATCACTTATAACAAATGAACGTGAAAAATGGGCCAAGATACGGAAATTGGCCAATCACACCTTCCATGCAGACAGCTTGAAAGTAAGCCTAGTGACTGTTTAGATTTATGTGGCCATTGTTACTATGGTTATGGGAAAGGTTATATGTTCGAAAAATGATAAGCATGGAGCATAATAATCAACTAACAACATCGTCGAATGACAATTAATCTGAAGAGAATTTTTTTGGATTTTCATGCTGATAACATAAAATTCTGCTACATGTGCAGAGAATGATTCCAGAAATGAGCATCAGTGTTGAGATGATGCTAGAAAGGTGGATACATTATGAAGGAAAAGAGATCAACGTGCATAAAGAATTTGAGGTATGAACAACTGAAATGATTTCCAGGACAGCTTTTGGGAGTAGTTATTTAGAAGGAAAGCATATATTCGAGTAAAGTAAAGTAACCCAAATAAGGGATTTAGTCCATTAACCATTAAGCAATAAATATCTACAAGGTCCCAAATATATATCTACTCTGGTTGATGTTCAAATCTATTCTACATTCAATAACAAAATGGAAGTTTCAGTAGCAAAGATGATGTTTGGTTCTTTTATAAAACAACAATGCAGAACTAGTTTAACTGTGCAGTCCATCCTTGAGTGTATGGAAGTAAGAACTGTATCGCTGTGCTAACCCGAACATGCCTAGGGTCCCCCCAGTGTGAAGCATCACCACTTTTGCATTTCCTCCTTGCTCTTCCTTACTAAGTTGTGTTGCTAGTTCCCAAGCAGCTAGAGTATACACGGGATCCACTAGAATACCAGTTTGCTGTGCAATCTGGTGGCACGACTCTACTTCCCCTTTTAATACATTTCCAAATCTGGAACAGGGCAACAGAAAGAGAACTTGCAATTAACAATGGCCAACCAAATATAGAAAACTAGAAACAAATGATAAGATGCTGGGGATATATTCCAGTGTCAGAATGTAGCTCAGAAGTACGAACAAAGGATTCCAGATATTTTGTGCTGGTGAAAGAGAAGAAATGTTTAGGTGGTCATAGCTGCACTACTTAGCATTATATACGGTCATATCAAACACAAACAAGAGGAGGTCGAGTATGCAGGCATCGTTTGGAACATATTAAATATCTCCAAGCACAGTATTGTTGACCACAAATATTGAGAGAAATAAATACAGATACAAGAAAGCCTAATTGGACGAAGAGATCATGTATCACCACTACAATTGTCCTTCTCTTTTATGAACGTACTAGGAGATGAAAGTAATATAAATGAAAAATTTGTCAGATGGTACCAGAGGATATTGAGAATCAAGTTCTGAGGACTTACTGTTAAGTGTATGTCAAAAAATTGTTTATAAAAGTGGCAAAAAGTAATAACTAATTTCTGGGTATAAAAATTGACTAAGCTCTCTGTAAGGAGGAGCTATGAGATCAAACAAATAAAAGAGTTGGCACTTTGGGAGAACTTAATGGCTTGTTAATCCTCCCTTTTCGCTGACAAGAATGACCATGCACACACAATCAGGGAGAAGAAAAGAAAAGGATCAGTTAAAAAAGTAAAAGAAGGATAGAAAGAAAAGTTAAGACAGGAGGCTTATCGCTTACTTCCTTGGATAGTTACGTTCTACCCAATGCACGATCCCACCTTTCACTTGGCTAAAGGCTTCATCAAGAAGAGGAAATGCGCAACACCTACAGAATTCAGAAATCAAGCGTTCCTCCTGTTTTCTATATCCATCAATAGTGTCAGCCAGCATCACTGCAGTGACCTCCCATGGGAGCCTGACCAAAAACAACAGCAGCTTTCGATGACCATCGTAATATTAACTGGAATAAGACTTGATATCGTAAGATGATACAGCAATCAGTTAAAGAGTTTATGAAGTTTGGATTGGATAAATTTCAATACAAAATAGGACTCACCCTAAACACATAACCCCAAGACCTAAACCAACAGCTGTCGTCCCAGTACCAGCATCTACTACAATTTTGAAAGCCTGTTTCTTTCCAAGTAAATGGTTCTCAGATAGGTACTGCACAAGCCGAAAGACACCTATTGAGAGCAAACATGAAAGCACACAAGTGAAGTAATTGTAACAATTAGGCGGTCACTGAATCAGTGAGACAAGAACCGATGCTGATAACAAAATAAACACAAAAGGAATCAGGATAAATGAACTTGTTCTCTTGCTGTTGAGGCAATAAATAAAAGCACTTCCTCTTGTTCTCTAATCCATATAAGAAAAACATGGAAATTTTGAGCAGGACAAACAACCAAATCAAGTAGCAAGCGGAAAAATGTGAAGTCACATTTTACTTTATTTTTCTGCCCCCCACCCGGGGGGGGGGGGGGGGGGGGG